TTTTTAAATTTTCAATTTTTAGATTTTTTCATTTTTCGTTTCTTCAATTTTTGAACTACTTAAATCTTGAAGATATTTTAAGATTCTTTTATGCGTTTTCTTCGACAATGAGGACACAAAATCAACTAAATTTCATTTTCTTTTAACCGCTGATGCTTGTAATCTGAACATCGAATTTTGTCGAAGTATAAACATAAACAGTCGAAGTTAAGCATATAGAATTTATTGGACTATATACTTCAAGGACGAGGGGAGTTCTGTCAAAATAACCATCTACAATTCTTGATTAGTTTTGTTTTCTTGATAGCGTCATCAAAATTCCAAAAACGACATTTTTTTTTCAAAACGCCAATGTTGCTGGCAAAACTGAAAATGATAATAGTGATAATATCCAAACAACATCTCTATACAGTTTCACAGGGCCCCACTTTGTAAATTTCCCGGTGAACCTCCCATGTACTCAGTCCGACACTGGTTTCGGTGTGAAAATTCTGACCCCTTGAAGTGTGGTGGTTGTTTTACTTTTAACAGGTCGGCTCCCGCTTGTTTGTCGGAGTCAAGTTTTATACAGGGTTTCTATAAATGATTATAGGGTCGAAGTAGGCACCAGAAGCGTGCCGCCTATCACTTTATATGGACTTTACTAAATGCCCCACATGTTCACTCTCTTTTTAATTACAAAAATGTTCATTCTTCGTTAAAGACAGAAAGACAGTAAACCTTGTACTCAATTTATTATATCATTACGCTGGATCACAGTCTATTCTTAAGCTAATCCATAGTTTTTGCCGATTTCGCTGTCAGTTACAAAAATAACCAACTGGTCGAATTATTCCGAAAATGTGCGATGATTTATCGTGACCATGGCTGCTGGAGAGCGTCGACTTTTACTTTTTCTCCGAGTTCCGCAAACCATCCTCAAGAATCCATTTACTATCTATCCTAAATCAAACATTGCAGAATGCCAAACGTTCAACGGCGCCTTATTTCTTCCGATGATTTATCGATCATTAGCGTTGTCTGTCCGTGAGGCCGATGAAAAATTGCCTAAATTTAAGTTTTAATGACATTTTAAATCACGTCTAAGTGTGTTATATTTTTATGATTTGTAAACGAACGAAATAAAAAGTTTCAAACTAATCAGCATGTGTACTTGGCATGTTCGACAGGCTCAGCGTGTTATTTGAAGAAGAGTCCATGAAAATTTTAATTTCGAGCCATGCTGCGTTCAAGAGAAGACTTCATACTGAGATGTTGAAACTGGCGCTCATTAATTACCTTGAAGTGTATAAATAAAACGCGACAATGTTGATGATAACATTTGTGTGATTTACATATTAATGTGGGTGAGAATGAGTTAATACTGCAATGGTGGAAATAAATAAACCTTTCGAGGATACTAGAATGTCGCCGACATGATGGGTAGTTCTATGAGTTGGTGGGGCGGAGGAACGTCTGCGTTTAATTGTTGATTAATCGGGTCAGAATCCCAAACTTCCAAATCGAGTGAAAACAAACCATCCGACGATTAGTGCGCGACAGGAAGAGATAAATAAAACCTGCTGTTATCTCTGTAACGTCAGAGCGTCAGCAGGTGGAATAATTTTAATTGCCTGGCATTGAAAGTGTAGAATTTCTAGCGGGCTTATCGTGTCTTACATCTTCATTTGGAAAAAGTTCAAGAAAGCATTTCTGTATCTGTTTGCCCTCCTTCCTCCGTCTGTCATTGTCAGGCCGGCAGCGGAAAAATCACGTCGCTGCCGCGGCAAAAAGGGTAAAAACTACCTTAAATATTTCACAAGTTAGTTTCAGATAAATTGTCTCATGAAATATACAAGCAACGGCTTTTATGGCGCGGAAAGAAGCCACTACGGCTCTCTGTGACCCGGCAATTGTCTTAAAGCACACTGTTTAAATCAACCTCAATTAAAATTATTCTCTCACATTATTTTGGTCGAACGTGTCGTCTCGATGCGGCGGAAAAACTTTTATTAAGTATAAAACAGTTTCGCTTTAATGAGCTGACGACTCCGGGTTTAACTAGAAAGATAATTATCGTCGCCGGCTAATGGCTACATTTTTCTTCTGTACTCTTTTAAATGTTTACGGAAGTTTCTAATGAGAAAATCTATCACGCCGCGAATTAAAATCGAATAATATTTAAACTGGATCGGGCAGGCGAAATCCTATTACTACGTGACATTATCAGAAAAATAAGAGGAATTACGAAAAATCCAGCTGTAGCGACACGAGAGTGAATCCCATTAACAAGAGCGAGTACGGAAAATGAGATTATTACTGGTGCTTTTTAAATAGAACGACTTCTTAATTACTAACAACATGCGCCGAGGGGCGAGAATGGAACGGGTTCTCTAGCAAGCTCCAATTTTCTTTATTTCATCAACTCGTCTGATTACCACTGAAGCGGGGAAAATTAACAGTTCCACGAAAAAAGCCCTCTGATTGGCGACGCTGAAAAAGTGTCCTCCACTTCAACTCATCCACCACGATGCACTAAACCAAATTTAAATTTCGCCGTCTGCTAAATGAGTTAAAAACTATAACTAGCACCAAGTTAACACAAAAGCTCACTTAAGTTGGGTTTCAGCAATTGTTGCGTTGATCGGTGAATAATAATCGGCGTGGGTAAAACTGCTTTGCGTATGGGTTTATTTTGTAACAATATTTTTTAGTCATCGGGAATCAAAAAAAAGATCACAACACAGTGTGAGACGACTTTTTTATTATTATTTTTCCTTAGTAATAAAATTCTTTGCCTCGTGTGTAGTAAATTTAATTCCGACGCAAAATAGCGCCTTTGTCGTGTTTTATAAATCCAGCATTCTGTTGCATCCGACGGACTTCATATGCACATACGTGGAGCAATCCTGCCATTTCGCCTCTAATTAAATATTTAATTATAAACCAAACGGTCGGTTCGTTCATAATTCGGTCAAACATTTCAAAGTTAAATGAAGTCTGACTGCAAAAAAATGCAATTATCTCTATCCGTTTCGAATTCACGACTGCGAAAACTTCAGGAATTTAAACATTTAAGGGCCATTACATCAGAAAGCAGGAGATAATTTGATTTAGGTAACGAACTTAACAACATTAACAATCTTTAAAGCGCTTTCTAATGACGCATTACTCAACTATCTTTTGCCAACCCATTCCCCCGACTCCGAAAAAAGAAAAACACTAGTGTCACTCGTTGTGCGCTTTTTAAAGGTAAGTGTAACTGCGTTAGCGCAGAATTGAATTATATTCGTACGCTTCGACGTAAAAGCGCTTTTAATGTATAAATTCTAAATTTGCGCCGAGGTGGATTCGAAACGTTTGAAGGTAATTTTGTTTGTTTTTTCGCGAATGTGGCGGAGCGGTAAACAAGAGAACAAGTCCTCGCAGGCTTATTGAGGTCTCATTTATCAGCGGCGTGAGCTATTAATTACAATTATCACATAAATAACAAACCACTTTTCGAATTTTTTAGCTATGAAACCATTCATTTTGTTTAGGAAGGTGATATATTCGGGATTAATTCAGCTTATTAGTCTTAATTAAAAGCGCTGTTGTGAGTAATAATTACAACCGGCACGCCAACACCTCGCGGGAGAGCCAGGCCCCAAGAAATGCTGAGCTACTTCAGACACGAAGACACCCGAATTAGCATATCCAGAAGGTGTCGATAACTCAAACGTAACGACAAAACTCAAACGGACTGAAATCTGGACAACGTGGAGGACGTTCTATATAAGTATATATACTTAGTGGTGCCACCACATGTGCCGTTACCTAGTGTTGACAAAACAAAAAGTGAGAAGGGATCAATAACTCCCATCGAAACAGATGAAAAAATTAACTGGCTTTCCCCCGTCCGTGATTTGGAATGTGTGGTGCAGCTTAACACTCCGTTTTTCTGGACGCTCATCCGTGCAGATGGATGGTAATTTTAAATCGAACAAAACATGACAGTCAAATTTCCTCTTTATCTCCGTGACACCGCCGTCCTCGCTAATATATTTAATACAGCACAATATGCGATGCCATTGACGTACGAGAGCTAATCTCCTGTTGACGTAAACCTCTCAAGTGAAAATCGCCATTCCTATTTAAATCATAATCAAATGACGGGACGGAATACCTGCTCAAAATCATGTCGTATTCACGAGTCGATTGACCCTTGCGTGAAAACACGATTAATCCATTTACGGATCGGGTGTCATCAGAAATGACGTTTGTCGATCAGATTTACTAATTAATTAATGGGAGGAAAGTTTACTTGTTGCGTGGAGGGTTGTAAAAAGCGGGTAAAACGTCCAGTATCTCGGGATGTCTTTCTGGAGCCGATATCGGTCTTCAATCCTCGAGGCATTGACAAGTAAAAGTCCGGGATTTGGAAGATTCGGATATCTGAAAACTATTGGCTTTGCCGGTAATCTGACAATCCCCTGTTCAGGGAAATAGTCCGGTAACTCACTTTTCAAACTAACGGACTGAGAGATGTGTACGAAAATCTTGTTATCGCTCTGACCGCCTAAGACCTAATTTCGTTTTCTTCGGAATAATAACGACATGTCCGGAAGGAAGTTATTCTTATAAAATGTTTTTAACTCGACTGTGCTTGCTACGTACTGCATCGAACACGAGGTTTGAATTTTGTTGCCAGGGATAAAAAGTCCAGACGGATTCATAAACCACAACTACAGGAGTATGTTATAAACGTATTATAATCAAAATTGGAATCTTCTGACGCATTTACGAAGTTGTTGTGTACAATCAACTTGAAAAAACCGCATTAAAACATAATTGGCTACTTTAATACCCTATATTCTGCTATCGTATAATTTCTTTGTGTTTTATAGTCTTAGTTATATCGTAAACGTTTAATCGAATGGTATGCTCAGTTCATATGTGAGATTTGTTCCGAAAATCACCTGAATATTGATGACAAGATGAAAATTCTTTTTGCTACATATAAAACTGTACCATTTGTCCTAATGGTATTATTAAACGAATCTACAGCAACTTATATGGTACATTTTGATTTGTGTATCAAAAATACCACAGGACGTTGTACCGAAATAAATGTTGAATCACCACCTTATCTTCCGAACAATGTACCAATAGTTTTTTTAATCCATGGATGGACTTCAGATGGTAGCGCCTCCTGGTACGACTCAACAATAGACGCTCTATGGCAAACCAATGACCAATATCATTTTATTAAAGTCGACTGGTCCATTCGCTCAAAAACGATATATATAACAGCGCAGTCTGCTGTTGACGAAGCTGGTAATTTTTTAAATTATCAACCACCCTTGAACTTCGTCTTTGTTTATTTTAGGTATCATTATCGCCAACTTCATCGTCAAACTAAACAACACTTATTCAGTCCCTTTTGAAAACATTCTGGAAATCGGTTTCTCCTTGGGTGCACAAGTCGCGGGTTTTGCAGGAAAAGAGGTTCAAAAGTTAACCGAAAAAAAGATTTCTCGAATTGTGGCTCTAGACCCAGCTGGTCCATTGTTTGACGGTAGACCAAAAGAGGAAATGCTGAATCCAAATGACGCCGAAAACGTGGTCGTTATTCACACTAACGGTGGTTTTGCTGGATATGTAGACGATGCTGGTACTATTGACATTTTCCCAAATGGTGGATCGTCCCAACCTGGATGCACAGTAGCTCTTCTAAGAAACATATTAAAGTTGTCTGAAACGAGTTAAGTTAACGTTGTTTGTCATCTTAAAGTATAACAGTGTGAATTTTTAGTTGGTTGTAGCCATTCTAGAAGTTACAAATTGTTCGTGGAAGCTCTACTCCATCCAGATAAGTTTCAGGCGAAGAAATGTTATAACTGGATTGTTTATCTCATAAGTGAGGATCTTTGCGAAGATGAGACTGTAACGTTGGGGGATTTGACAACCACTGCGACTGGGAAGTATTATCTGAAAACCGAAGACGAGCCTCCTTATTATTAGTGAAAGTGGGTTACCAGTATTAATTTGTTTGTGAGCACGTTTAAAAAATTCTGTTCGATTTGTCAGCCACATAAAGTTCTCGCAAAGTGTTTCATTTCCATATTTGTCCCCGATCAAATATTTAATGTACTGGTTGCAGTTCTCCAACTCGAATAAATCAGTAATACTATATACACGGAGCACGTCCCGGCCCTGTATTTTCTCAAGGGGTTGATTCCAGATGAACCTTTTAATAGCCTAGCGAATGTAAAGTCGTAAAATGTTTCAAGACATTTCGAACGCTACCGAAATATAAGTGAACAAATTACACTCGGACTTGTTTATTTTTACAGCAATAAAATTCTTCTTATGGATTGACTAAAAAAACTTTATGTACGTTTCGATTTAAGAAATGAGGTAGACTTTTTCCTCCGTCTGAACACACTATAAAACATAACGTGAAATTATCGACAGTAAAACTACAAAATGGAATTGTTTTTACGTTGTATTTACAGTTGGGGAAATTGGACTTTTAAGTGTTGCAATTTGGCGATATTTAGTGCTGCATAATTTAAATACTAATGCACTTTCTATTCGCGATAAAGGAGTGCAGTGCCATTAAGTGCATTCAGACCGTTTAAATGGAAGTGATAAATGGATGTTTCTCTTTTATTAGGACGGCTTTTTAATTACGTTGGTACCTCTAAGCCCGAATCCCCTAGCGACGACTATCAAAAAGGAAATTTCAGTGGCTGTTACCGCTCAGTTTTAAACCCGGAGACATTTAGAGATTCAAATCAGAAGTCGACAAGGACTGGCTACTTAGCTGTGAACTGCTGTTTGCTGCTTATTTGAAAATTTTATGGCCACTTTATGTTTTGTTGCTTATCAGATCATAACGCAGATTGGTTGAGGTGAAGAAATGAAACTGAGAAGATAAAGAAACTACAGAAGAAATTTGAAACATGAAAATTAATTAATGGTGCGGATTAAATATACATGTGGACAAGTTTCCCACATTCGCAACAGGTTATGGGTCCAAGGAAGAGAGAAAACGTAAAAATGAAAGTAGTGCAGGATGGAATCGAATTAAAAGCGAAATCACTAGATAAAAAGATGTAAATTGATTGCCCCTAGCTATCTTTGACGATCTTGGAATGACAGTCTTGGGCCAAAATTTTTAACAAAAGAAAACAAGAAATAATATACCTCGGATATAGAAAGAGTAAACTTTAAAAATAAAATTTAAATCTAAAACAAATAATGAAAATGACAGAAATGACATTCACCAAAATGAAATGACAGGGGACAGATAGACGAAAACGAGAAACCACTTTTTCGTACTCTTGGGGTCATCAAATCAGAAGTCAACAAGAATTGAAGGCAAAATGTAGCCCCGCCCACCCACCCTGTCTCAATTGTGATGATTTTTTTTATTCGTCGTGAGTCAAGAAGGCGGAACTTAACTGCAAAATCCTTATTTCTCTACGAGAAATTAACAACATGTTTTTGAATATGGTGTTCAAAGAATACTATGTATATTAAGAAAAAATGAAGTTAAAAAGTAGGCCCCACCCATACCCGCCCCGACCTCAATTCTCAATTGTGATCAATTTTCATTCGTTGTCAGATTGAGGGGCGGTTCTTAATTGTAAGATTCATATTTTTCTACAAGAATTCATTATTTTAAACATCTTTTAAGTTTCTTGTTCTGAAAGGACTACTACGTGTATTACGAAAATAAGCAAAATATAAGCCCTGCCCACCCACCCTATCTCAATTATGATGTTTTTTTTCTTGTAATCGTCGAGAGCCAAAGGAGTGGAATTTAATTGCAAAATCGTTATTATTTCTCTATAAAAAATTACTGTGTATATTCAGATTAAGCCCCACCCATACCTGCCCTGGTCTAAATAATAATGAAGTTTTCATTTATTGGCAGATCTAGGGGAGGAGCCTAATTGCAAAATCCATATTTCCTTACAAAAATATACCGTTTTAAACGTGTTTTAAATTCTAAAGAATTAAAAAAAAATCATCACAATGGAGATGGGGTGACTGGGTGGGGTTCATATTTTGCCTTTTTATCTTAATATACGTAGTATTCTTTGAATAACACGATACTTAAAAATATGCTTTTAATTTCTTGTAAAAAAATAAGTATTTTGCAGTTAAGCTCCGCCCCCTTGGTTCACGACGAATAAAAAAAAATCATCATAATTGAGACAGGGCGGGTGGGCGGGCTTAGATTTTGCCTTTTTGTTTTAATATGTGTAGACTTCTTTACACAACATGAAACTTAAAATATGTTTAAAATGGAAAATTTGTATAAGGAAATATCTATTTTGCAATTAGCCTCCACCCCATAATTACAAGATCCATATTTCCTTCCAAAATTTTACTATTTTAAACACGTTGTAAGATTCTTGTTGTGGAAAAATGGCTATGTATATTACGAAAACAAAAGACAAAATATAAGCCCCGCCCACCCACCCTGTCTCAATTCTGATTTTTTTTATTCGTCGTAATCCGAGGGGTGGAGCTTAATTGTAAAACCCTTATTTTTCTACAACAAATTGCCGTGGGAAATACGTTCTTAAGTAATCGCGTTATACAATGAAAACTAAATGTATTAATTAAAAAAGGAAACCAAAAGAGAAGCCACACCCATCCGTCTAGATCTCAATCGTCATGAATTTTTCATTCGTTGTCAGACCGAGGAGCGGAACGGAATTACAACATCGATATTTCTATATATCGAGTCTTTGGAATTTTTGGAGACTTTTCTATCTTCGGAATCTTGGGATTTTTTTGGAATCTTTGGAATCTTTGGAATATTTGGAATCATTAGAATATTTAGAATGTTTGGAATGTTTGAAATGTTTGGAATGTTTGGATCTTTGGAATCTTTGAAATCTTTGAAATCTTTAAAGTCTTTGGAGCCATTTGAATCTTTGGAATCTTTCGAATGTTTGTAATATTTGGAATGTTTGTAATATTTGGTATCTTTGGCATCTTTGGAATCTTTGGAATCTTTTGAATCTTTGAAATCTTTGGAATCTTTAGAATCTTTGGAACTTTGGTATCTTTGAAATCTTTGAAATCTTTAGAATTTTTAGAATCTTTAGAATCTTTAGAATCTTTAGAATCTTTAGAATCTTTGGAATATTTAGAATTTTTGGAGTCTTTGGAACCTTTGGAGTATTTGAAATCTTTGGAATCTTTAGAATCTTTTGAATCTTTGAAATCTTTGGAATATTTGGAATCTTTGGAATCTTTGGAATGTTTGGAACTTTTGGTATCTTTGGAATCTTTGAAATCTTTAGAACTTTTAGAATCTTTAGAATCTTTGGAATATTTAGAATCTTTGGAGTCTTTGGAATCTTTGGAGTCTTTTGTATCTTTGGAATCTTGGAATTTTTGGAATCTTTGGAATTTTTGGAATCTTTGGAATATTTGGAATTTTTGGAATCTTTGGAATATTTGGAATTTTTGGAATATTTGGAATCTTTGGAATTATTGGAATGTTTGGAATCATTGGAATCTATGAAATTTTTGGAATTTTCGAAATCTTTGGAATCTTTAAAGCCCCTGGAGTTTTTGGAATCCTTGGAATCTGTGGAATCTTTGTAATATTTGTAATGTTTGTAATATTTGGAATCTCTGGAATCTTTGGCATCTTTGGAATCATTGGAATCTATGAAATTTTTGGAATCTTCGAAATCTTTGGAATCTTTAGAGTCCTTGGAGTCTTTGGAATCCTTGGAATCTGTGGAATCTTTGGAATCCTTGGAATCTGTGGAATATCTGGAATTTCTAAAATCTCTATGATCTCTAGAATTTATACAAAATTTATATATAATCTTTGGATTATTTGGAATCCTAGCACTTTTAAAATCTGTGAAATTTTTCGAACTACAGAATTTAAAAAATCTTTAACGTTTAAGTTCTTAAGGATCTAGATGGAGTCTTTAGAATTTTTAGAATCTTTAGAATCATTAGAATCTTTAGTATCTTTAAAATCTTTAGAATCTTTAGAATCTTTGGAATCTCTGGAATCTTTGGAATCTTTGGAATCTTTAGAATCTTTGGAACTTTTGTAATCTTTGGAATTTTTGGAATCTTTGGAAACTTTAGAATCTTAAGAAACTTTGGAATCTTTGGAATCTTTAGCATCTGTAGAATCTTTAGAAACGTTGAAATCTTCGTAATCTTTAGAATCTCCGAAATTTCTAAATTTTAAATGAATTATTTTTTCAGATATTCACAATTTTTATGACCTTTTGTATCTCCAAAGTCCTTGGAATCTTTAAACTCTTTGGAATTTTAAGAGTTTTATATAACATCTATATATAATCTTAGGATTATTTTGAATCATTCTAGAATTCTAGAATTTGGGAAATCTGTCAAATATTTCAAACTACAAAATTAAAAAAAAATTACGTTTAAGTTCTTAAGGAACTAGATAGAGTCTTTGGAATTTTTAAGGCGTCTTTAATATTTAGGCTCTTTACAATATTTAGAGCCTTTCGTGTCTTTGGAATCTTTAGAATCTTTAGAATTTTTGGAATATTTTGAATCTTTTAAACTTTAAGTAAAGTAAGTGGTTATTAAGAAAAAAAAAAGGCAAAATCTAGCCCCGCCCACCCGCCCTGCCTCAATTGTGATGATTTTTTTTATTCGTCGTGAGCCAAGAAGGCGGAGCTTAACTGCAAAATCCTTATTTCTCTACGAGAAATTAAAAACCTGTTTTTGAGTATCATGTTGTTCAAAGAATACTATGTATATTAAGAAAAAATAAAGCCAAAGATTAGGCCTCACCCGTACCCGCCCCGATCTCATTTCTCAATTGTGATGAACGAATGAAAAGTTGCCAGATCGAGGGGCGGGGCTTAATTGCAAGATCCATATTTGTCTACAAGAATTCATCATTTTAAACATCTTTTAAGTTTCTTGTTTTGAAAGGACGACGAAAATAGGCAAAATAAGCCCTGATATTTTGCCTTTTTTTCTTAGCATACATAGTATTTTTTGAACAACACGATACTCA